CGTCATGAGTCCACATGGAGAGTCAGCATGGAGAGTCTGCATGGACAGTTAGTGCCACAAGTCAGTGTGGAGACTCAGCAATCAGAGTCAGCTCCATGAATCAGCATGTTGAGTCAGTGCTGCAAGTCAGTATAGAGAGTGAGAATGGAAAGTCAGCGTCATGAGTCCACATGGAAAGTCAGCATGGAGAGTCAGCGTCATGAGTCCACATGGAGAGTCAGCATGGAGAGTCAGCGTCATGAGTCTGCATGGAGAGTCAGCATGGACAGTTAGTGCCACAAGTCAGTGTGGAGACTCAGCAATCAGAGTCAGTTCCATGAATCAGCATGTTGAGTCAGTGCTGCAACTCAGCACCATGAGTCAGTGAGGTGAATCAGTCTGGAGAGTGAGTGCAGAGTTAGGAAGGCTGTCTCTGAGTGGAATTAATGAGAAACATTTGAGTATCGGGTAAAGATCTACCTTTTCCGAGGTGCAGGGGGTTTGTGCAGGATTTCCAGATTTATCCTGGAAAACCTATGAAAGCTAATCCATCAACCCTGACCAGCTTGTTTCAGGATGCAGCCGAGATCTTGTTCTTTTCCAACTGCCAAAAATTTTAAGGCTGAAATCTTCAGTGAAAGATATTGGTTACCCTCCCCCGGACACATAAGACGCTGATGTCTGTGCAGGATCTAAGTTACATGATGAAGTTTGAAGGAGATGTTATTTGATCACAAAGAGGCAGTCTAGGCACCCCAAAAGGACCAGGTAAAGGTCTGTCTGACTGGACACTCTCCTGTTAATGGCTAAGGTGAGGATTATAAACAGTGATCAAACGCTAACACCAAGTAAGGGGTAAGGAACACTATGGCTCACAGAGGAACACAGTCACTACGGCTAACATAGGGACCCAATAACTGTGGTTCACAGAGGAACACAGTCACTATGGCTCACAGAGGAACACAGTCACTACGGCTAACAGAGGAACACAATCACTGTGGTTCACAGAGGAACACAGCTACTATGGCTCACAGAGGAGTACAATCACTATGGTTCACAGTGGAACACAGTCATTATGGCTCACAGAAGAACACAATCACTGTGGTTCACAGAGGAACACTGTTACTATGGCTCACAGAGAAACACAATCACTGTGGTTCACAGAGGAACACAGTCATTATGGCTCACAGAAGAACACAATCACTGTGGTTCACAGAGGAACACAGTTACTATACTGTAGCTCACAGAGTAGCACAATCACTTTGGTTCACAGTGGAACACAGTCACTATGGCTCAGAGAAGAACACAATCACTGTGGTTCACAGAGGAACACAGTTACTATGGCTCACAGAGGAGCACAATCACTGTGGTTCACAGCGGAACACAGTCACTATGGCTCACAAAGCAATTCAGTCACTATAGCTCACAGAAGATCACAGTCACTATGACTCACAAAGAAACACAGTTAATATAGCTCACAGAGGAACATAGTCACTATGACTCACTGGGGAACAAAGTCACTATAGCTCACAGAGGATCACAGTCACTATGGCTCACAGCTGGCAGGAGGCACTGTGTCTCTGTGTGTCCTGCACATCTCCCTCCTTAGCTCCCTCCCCAGGAGGCTGATGGAGTTTGTAATGCATAAAACAGACCAATGAGGTCACCTGACCAGAGACGGGTTACATGGTTTCACCAGAGCAAGGCAAGATCCACTTACTGCCTCCATGTAGGGGTTGGAATGGGAGAGGGGGTCTCGGGTTCGAGCCATAAAGGATATGGGCTGGAGACCAGGCGGATGCACCAGCTGCGGGGGCAGGTAGTCTGCTTGAGGCAAAAGAAGACGACGGGGGCCAGCTCAGGGAAGGGCACCACCAGTGTGCTCAGGTCCTCGCTGATGTCGTCGCCCGGCCCTGCCTCCTTTGCTGACTCCTCCCCCTGGTCCTCGCAGGGCCCCGTCCTTACCCGAGCCATGCCCAGAGCTCCGGGACACTCCTCGCTCATCATGACGACACAGAGACCTGGTGACAGGAGGCGGGAAAGGGCAGCACATTCAGGACATCACACAGTAAGTGGGCACATTTAGGGTGTCACATGACAAAACCATAGGCTGTTTCTGGATGACTGGCATGACAAGCATGAAATCGCGAGCGGCTGGCACACGGCCAGCGTGCGGATCAGCGTGTCTGCATGTGACGTTCCTGCGCCAGGTGTCTCACTCCCAATGGGATGCGGCGACACGCCTTAACACGCTTATGTAGCCGCCGACACGCCTACGTGTTTGTGTTCGACAAATTGCGGTTAATGAATGCAAATGTGATAATGGCGCGGGATCTCACCCCCAACCCCACCGGGCTTGTTTCACTCGTGCTGCTTTCGGACTTTTTCTGGCTTTTTGTTTAACCCCACCCTGGACTTCTGACTGCAGAGTGGTTCCATTTAGCTGGCTTTCCGGTTCCCTTCCACCCATCATGTCCACTGACTCGTACCCCTCGCCGGCATGCAGGTACCAATCGCCGGCATGCAGGTACCAATCGCCGGCATGCAGGTACCAATCGCCGGCATGCAGGTACCAATCGCCGGCATGCAGGTACCAATTGCCGGCATGCAGGTACCACTCGCCGGCATTCAGGTACCAATCGCCGGCATGCAGGTACCAATTGCCGGCATGCAGGTACCACTCGCCGGCATTCAGGTACCAATCGCCGGCATGCAGGTACCAATCTCTTTATGCCGCCAGTTCCTTGCACGGATTCACAGCTGTGCACTGAACCACAATGGCTGACTGTAACACTAGCCGGGTGACTTTCAAAAAATGTCACTATTTTGTGGCTACAAAATGGATAAAAGGGGATAAAATGGGGCAGGAGACTTGTAAAGGAGCACTGTGCTGCTGACATGACGAGAAGATGCCTCCTAACTAACTACCTGTGTTTATTATTTACATATTATTTATCTATCAGATGCTTTCATTCAAAGCGACAAACGTTTTGAGGGTGCAGGCTCTTGTGCAGCCAAAGGATAGAGGCCTTGCTCTATGCCAGGGGTGGGGGACCTGTTCCATGGAGTGCCGGTGTAGGTGTGGGGTTTTGGGATGATCTCTCAATCAGCCAATAATAAACCAGTGGTTTTCAACTCCAGCCCTGGGGACCGACTGTTATTGGTTGATTGAGAGGTCATCCCAAAGACCCGCAGCCACACTGACCCTCCATGGAACAGGTTCCCCACCCCCAGCTCTAGGGCCCAACAGTGAAATCACTCTGTCGATGCTGCAATTTGAACCAGTGGCATTCCAATCACAAGCCCAGCATCCTGAGCCACAGACCAGCCTATTGAGCGGATCAAGTGGGAGTTTTATCCGACCTTTTGGCAAAGTGAGCAATTCTGGTGGCTCAAGCAAAACAGTAATGACTGACCCCTGGAGACAGAGGATACTCCATCACTGACCTTCAGGCTGACCTTGAGGAGTTTGTGCTGCCCCCTGCAGGCTGGCAACAAGACAACACGCACAGTCTCGCTCCCACATAGAAACAACTGTCCGCGTGAGGGAGCACTCGCCCACTGGCACGAATCACCCTCACATGATCCTGTAATCTCTGTAGCGGATGTTTGTACATTCTGAAGTGAACGAGGGTTAAAAAAGTGACAGACATAGGATGAATTCACAGTGCATCTGTAACCGGTGAAAGCCATGATTTCATTAAAAGACTCTCTGATCTAAGCTCATCGGAGCTCGGCGCTTTTCTCTTCAGGCCGAGCCAGGCCAAACGCCAATGTGGCCACTGACACCCAGGGGGGGCAAGTTTAGCTCCAGTGGCTATTCCCTGACTGGCCACCAGGTGGCCTGCTAATTAAGGAACTTTCAGCTTCACAGGATAGGACAGGACATGACAGATAACGTGTGAACTTCAGACCACAGAGAGTGGAAGCCATGCTGCTTTTGGGTGAATGTGCATGCTATACAAATAGGTAATAAGAATTGAAGGCAATTTTTCAGTGCTGATGCAGAACATGCTGAGACCGGGTAGTGAGCAGGCTTTGGCATCCATTTAATTCAGCATCTGGATGGTATTCAGGTGAAGAGAGCAGGAGGTGGACGGCGTGTGTAACGTAGGTATAAATTTGTGGGGGCTTCCAGACCGGTGTGTGTGTGTGTATGTGTGTAGGCGTCACATCAACATGATGGATGCTCGTTTGGATCCAGAAAGAGGGGAAGCAGGACAAGTGGAAATTCACCCCCCCCCGAGATTAAAAACCGTCTGAGGGAGGTGACTTGACCAGGGCCATATCCGGTAGAGGCGGTGTGGGGGAGCACATCCAGCCCCCTCTGCCCCAAACAGACATGAGAGCTGATTTGGATTTCAGGTCCAGTGGTTCTGCTTTCAGCCCTGTACATGATCAGGGACCCAAACCCCAGCTCTGACTGCCCTTCACAGAGGGAGGTGGAGACATTAGTGATGCATTAGTGAACATGGGGCTCGGCTGGGCTTGCCGATTAGGGTACAGGGTCACGGGCACATACTCACAGGTGCCCGTTGGTGCGTGGCACGTAGGGGCAGTCTTGGCTTCGTTTTGCATGTGAACCTTTTCAGACAGGTGCCCTTTCCTCTCTGTTTACACCAGATTTTATTCTTCAGAAGCGATCAGGCCGCTAATGCAGTGACAGCAGCAGAATGCAAAATGTGCAGCCCTACAGTATCACAGAGTGCGAAGATATCGATCTGTCACCGTGACGACGGCTCCGACTGGGACAGCGGCAAAAACCACTTGGCAGCGAGGAGCGGTATTGTGTATTGGCAAAAATGTCCCCCGTCAGGGTTAGCAAGGGCAGGGGCAGGAAGGGGACCAGACAACACAAAGCAAGCATCAAGTAAAGGAGCCTTATTACCAGCCAATGAGATACAGGAGATTATAACCAATGGGAAGGGAGCTTTTTGGGGACCTTATGGAACAGCACATGTCTATATATAGGCGTTGCTGAGACTGAACACCAGGGGGAGGGACCGATATGAACAAACGTGGTCACCTGATACACCCCAACCCCCAAAACACACTAATTGCAATAGATTCTCCATACTGTCTCTTAAGTTCTAAATGTCTTTTTTACTATTAAAATCAGTGTGTTGTGCCACTGAAAACCCGCAATCCGAGGTTAATAGTGTATGTCCAGTCAAAAGTCTGGACACGCCAAGCCGTCTACAGTGGACAGTGATAGTGTCGCATCACATGACCTGGCCACCTGACCTAAACACAGCAGAGATGGTTTGGGAGGAGTCTGACCAGGGAGTGGAGGAAAAGCGGCCAATGAGAGCTCATCATATGTGGGACCTCCTTCAGGACAGCTGGAAAAGCATCCCAGGAGGCCACCTCATGGAACTGGTGTAGAGGGGACAGTAGGGTCAGCCAGGCCCTGGAGCCATTGGGGTTAAGGGCCGTGCTCAGGGGCCCAATGGTGGGATCACTCTGATGACCCAAGGATTTGAACCAGCAACCTTCTCAGTTATAACCCACAGAGCTGCCCCACCGCCCCCCACGTGTTTGCATAGTCCCATATGTGTTATTTTATAGTTTTGGTGTCTTTGTGTTTATTCTAAAATGTAGATAGTAGTACAAATAAACCTGTCTGTGGGCATGTGTGTCCAAATGTTTGACGGATACTGTATGTGTGCATGTTGTATGTATGTATGTATGTATGTATGTATCTATCTATCTATCTATCTATCTATCTATCTGTCTATCATGAAATATAAACAAGTGTAAACGAGTAAATCCCAGACAGTGTACATAGGATTACGTGAGATCTGGGGACTGGGGGCCATGGATGGCAACCCGGGGTCCATCTCCTGGGGGGTACAGATGCACCATGAGCTGTCCTCAGGTGTCTTGTGACCACGGGTCAGGGGAAGAATAGCGGAATAGGGGAAGCCTGCTTGTCCTCCAGAGCGCCATCCTCCTGCATAAGGAGACACGACAGCGGCTGAAATGGCTCGTCAGCCCACTGCCTTCTCCACCTCCCAACCCGCTTGGCCCTCACCCTGCACGGCGCTGCCGGAGGAGAGACACCCCAGCGGCTGTGTGGGAATGTCTTTCTGCAGGAAATCATGCACTGAGCTGAACTTGCTCAGGGAGAAGCTGAAGGTGGCATTTAAAAGCTGATCCTCAGAGTAAGGGTCGGCTCCAGAATGCACCGGGATGCTCTGGAATGCTCTGGGATATTCCAGAATGCTCTGGAATGGTCTGGGATGATCTGGAATGCTCCAGGATGCTCCAGAATGCTCTGGAATGCTTTAGAATGGGATACTCCAGAATGTGTGGTTTTCCATACACAACACTGCAGCTACCACAGCTGAGACCAGGGGAAGCAGCAGGCCCTTTAGCCCGTGACTCATCGACATCCATAGCACGATACCAAGCTGCACAGTCGACTGTCATTAAACAAACATGCTTTCAGTGTACATGTGCACTGCAAAATGCTGACCGCTGCTCTACAGCCATTATTAATACGTAACAAAAAAGGTTTTCACGTCTAAATGGTGAGTCGGAAATAAGGCACATGTCCTCCGTTTGACCCTCCGCTGGACAGAGATCTTCATCCCAGGCTTATCACCACACCGGAATAATGAGTAATATCAGCCCCTCCCCTGTCCGTGCTAAACCCCGTGACTGCGAGTCTTTCTGGTAATATGGCAGCGAGATTGGAACCCTCCCCCGTGCAAAGTCAGGAATTCACACCTCCGTATGTCCCTCGCTTCCCGCTGCTGCTGGTTTTCCGCAGCAACCCAGGCAACATACGGCTTCCGCGGTATTCCCAGAGCACCCGCTCCGGCTGGAAGCTCAGACACCAGGAGTCTGACTGACTGCCTGTGGCACAGGGGGGGGGGGGAAGCAGACCAGGCTGGTGGAGGAGGGCTGTCAAGCCCTGGCGAAAAGCCCCCCGGGGCGTCTCGCCTGGTAGAGGGTAGCCAGAGCGTCACACCCGTCTGGCCCTCAATCAGATCTTCCGGAGGCCTCCGGCCGTCTG